GCGTCATGGACGGGATCGGGAGGCGGCCCGCACGTGGCGACGAGGATGGGATCGGGAGGCGGCCCGCACATGAACAAGCCTGGAACTGATGCAAAGCCTGGTACTGATTCCAAAGTTACAAGCATGCAACAGAGAGGTTTAATAAGGCACAGGGGCAAGTGGGCTGAAGAGCCTACTACCCAGCTAGCTAGCAAGCCTCAGCTCCTGCTGATGAAGGACATGTCCAGTAACCAGGCAGAGGGTTAGAAGTGGGCCAAAGAGCCTACTACCCAGCCAGCCAGCAAGCTTTTTCCCCAGCAAGGATTCCAAAGTTACAAGTGTGCAAAGGAGAGGTTTAATAAAGCACAGGGACAAGTGGGCCAAAGAGCCTACTACCCAGCCAGCCAGCAAGTCTCAGCTCCTGCTGATGAAGGGCACATCCAATAACCAGGCGGAGGGTTAGAAGTGGGCCAAAGAGCCCACTACCCAGCCAGCAAGCTTTCTCTCCAGCAAGGATTCCAAAGTTACAAGTGTGCAATGGAGAGCTGTCATAATAAGGGGCAGGGCAAGTTTTCAGTTGTTAGAAAAACTGCACTGTAGCAAAAATGATTGTTAAAGCCAGTGACAAAGTCTCAGCTCCTGCCACTGCAGTGGTCCTGGCTCCCAAGGGAAGGCTGGGAAGCAGGCAGTGTTCTCACTGCCCAGCAAGAAGCTTTCTCCCAGAAAGGATTCCAAAGATACAAGGGTGCAACCAAGAGGTGTCAAAAGGCGGCAAGTGGGCCAAAGAGCTTACTACCTGCAACATGGTGGTCATGTCAGGATGTGTCTGCTTGGTTGCTTGCTGTGGTAGGTGTCAAGGCTGAAACTCTGGGGAGGTCTCTGGCCAGCAACCAAGAAGAAGGTATTTAACAAAAGCTATTAAAGAAAATTAAAATGATATTTTCAGATTTTTCAAGAGGAAGATGTCAGTAGTATTTTGATTACAACAAGACTTAAAAAGGTATGAGGATTCCAAAGAGACATGGGTGCAATGGAGAGGTGTCAAAATAGGCACAGGGCAAGTGGGGTGAATAGGTTTTGGCCAGCAACCAAGAAGAAGAATGGTCAGGAGAACACAGCTTTGTAGCAAGATTGGTAAAGGCACATGTGCTACAGTGGTCTATGGGGATTTTCTGTAGCGATGTCCTGCAGTTCAGCACTGCATTTTCTGAGACATGCCCAGTAACCATGAAGGAGATGCTAGAGAGGGAGCCTATATTCTATCCAGTTCCCACCCACCAACAACCAAAGAGGGCTTCGTGGCTAACATCGAAGGAAAACAAATTTGTAGCACCAGCAACCAACAAGGCTTTGTGGCACATGTCAAGTGCTGATGCTCACGCCAAAGCCAGTGAACGCGGCGGCCATGTTGGGACATGTGTGCTTGGTTGCTTGCTGAGATGAAACTCTGGGGAGCTCTTTGGCCAGCAATGAAGAAGAAGGTATTTAACAAAAGCTATTTAAAATTTTTTTATGGATATTTTCAGATTTTGCTAAAGAAGTGGACCCCCCAGGGCGGGGAATGCTTGCCAGCAACCATGAAGGAGATGGTAGGGAGGGAGTATGCTAGCACCATGGTGCTCAGACCCCTAGCCAGGAGGTAAGAGGGAGCTAGGGAAGGTGTAAAGGGTGCAATGGAGGGGAGGTATGGGCCAGCAACCAAGAAGAAGGTATTTAACAAAAGCTATTAAAAAAATTAAAAAGATATTTTCAGATTTTACAAGAGGAAGATGTAATACTTTGATTTTTACCCTAGGGAAGGTGTAAAGGGTGCAATGGAGGGGAGGTATGGGCCAGCAACCAAGAAGAAGGTATTTAACAAAAGCTATTAAAAAAATTAAAAAGATATTTTCAGATTTTACAAGAGGAAGATGTAATACTTTGATTTTTACCAAGAAGAAGGTATTAACAAAAGGTATTAAAAGTCCTTAAAATGTTTTTTTTCAGATTTTACAGGAGGAAGATATAAAGTAAAATTGACTTGATTAAATTAAACTATTACGGTCCTGGCCCTTCCAGCCTTAAAATTCTGTGAATCTGTGAATCTCAAAGCTGGTTCAGGACCCAGAAGCTAGGCATATTCTGAGGTGTATTCTATTCAATTCCCACCCACCAGCAACCAAAAAGACCCAACCCCTCTGCAGCAAACTCCACAGCAGTGAATGAAATGCACTTGAACAACTTGTCCAGCTGGTACTGATGCAAGACATGGCCAGTAACCAGCAGGAGGAGGGAGGGAAGACTGTAGGCCTGGAGGACTTGTGCAAATGGACCTGATGCTCCCCAGCAACAACAAAGGAGATGGTTGGGAGGGAGTATGCTAGGACCACGGTGCTCAGACCCCCCAGCCATGGGGTAAGAGGGAGCTAGGGAGGGTGCCAAGGGTGCAATGGAGGGGAGGTCTTGGCCAGCAACCGATGTGACCCGAGTCCTCTGCCAATGTAAATAGCTCACAAGAACAGCTTGCTTTTGTGGCCAGTTACAATACAAGTTCAGGAACTATGTTCAGGAACTAGGAGGTGGCCATTTCCACCCCTCCCCTCAGGGGAAAGAGGCAGGGAGGGTGGGTGCATAAGTATCTTCTTTCTCACGGAAAGGAATCGAACTGTAATTGTAATTCTATATATACGTCCGACAGCAGTCCCACAGGGGTTTCAATAGGGATTAGTTCCAGTTTGATTGTATGAGGCAAGGGGTCAGTTCTGGTCCTTTACAGGCACTTAATGCAGGATGAGGGGCTGGGGGTGGGAATGCAAGATGAGGGGCTGGGAGGGGGGGTCCCTGAAGGGTGTCCATCCCTAAGGTGGGAGGATGCTGGAGGAGCACCTGTCCCCAACAAGGGGATATCTAAGAGGGGAATCTGGGGGGGATCTGTCTCCAAGAGGGAGTGGAAGTGGCAACCTATATACGGTGGAGGCCCAGGATGTGTGTGATGACTGCAGGGTGGTGATAAGGCAGATCTACCTGATTTGAAATGAATTGAACCATTTCAATCATTATAAACCATTTGTAAACCATAATGAATATTACTAATAAACTCCTACGGATGTTCTACTATTGGAATTAATAGCTAGCTGCCTCCTACTGTTATCATTACCTGTTGTTATATTATAAGTCAATATCAGGCCAGATGAAATTCAACTATGATTAGAATGCAATAGTTGTTGAGAGAATTAATTCTGATCCTGAAGGAAGTGATGTCGATGCTTTTCATTTTCTCTTTCTTTCTTCCTTTCTTTTCTGCCTCTGGTCACACCAACAGGAACAATTGATCAGCCTGCAACTAGCAGTGGAAGGGGATCTGAAAACCAGACAGAGAGAGGATAAAAAGAATTTGTCTTGGTGCTCCTTGTGCGCCTCAAATACTGAAGTACTTTCCAGCAGCCCCATTTCCAATAAATTTGAAATTAAAAAATGTACCCTTCACCCTACCAGAAGTGGCTACATAAATATGATGGAGGCCAGGGATGTGTGTGAATGTGTGTGATGTGTGCAGGGTGATAGGGAAGATCTACCTGCTTTGAAATGAATTGAACCATCACAATCATTGACCATTAATAAATTGTCAATAAGAACTCTTATTTACATATGACAATTGTAATTAATAGCTTCCTACTATTAGTATTACCTGTTGTTATATTATAAGTCTATATCAGGCAGGATGAAAGTCAGCTATGATTAGATTGCAGAATAAATCCTGAAGGAAGTTTCTGTTCTCTGCTCTTCAGCATTTTTCTGTCTTTCTCTTCCTTTCTCCTTTCTGCATCTTGTCACACCCAGAGGGCGTGCCGTTAGCAGTGGAAGGTGACCTATAAACCAGAGGGAGGGAGGATTTACCTTGGGCAAATTAACTGATGCTTCCTCCCCTGACCTGTGCAGAGCCCAGCTAGCCCCATTTAGAATTAAACAATATGGGAGAGAGGGTGGTGGCACCCTGGCATTGTCTCTTCCCACAGGCACCACCGGAGACTACATTATGCTACTGGTGCACGGCCTTGGGCAAATTAACCGATGCCCCCCCACCCCTTGCAGAGCCAATCAGCGGGGGAGGGGAGTTGGCGAGCTTGTATTCGCGCCCGCCCTAGGGACAGACAAGTGTTACCAGGTGTCACTTACCAATGGTGTAGTGTAGTGTAGCACATCGCCACAGTGTAGCACATCGCCACTTCATGAAGTGGGGTGCATCTTCACTGTACCCTACTTCATCAGCCTGCAGTCTTCACAAACCCTGGATTCTCATTGCTGTGCCCCTCAGGGGCAAGACTCGTTCCTGGGATGAGTCCTTCTCTGCTCCCACTGTGCCTTCTCTGCTACCTCACCCACCTCAAACCTCCCTCATCAATACAGTGACTTCTGCTCCCCCAATTTATAATGCTCAAGGGGGGCAACACCTCCCCTCCAGCAGCCTTGTTTTGGTGTGGAAAACCAGACAGTCTGGTGCCAGGCTGGAAAAGGGCATGAAAAGAAGGTGGAAAAGTTTTCAAAGTCCCTGAGTTTGTGTACAGGCAAAGTGGAAACCCCAGGGCCCCCCTTGCCTCTGTTTACCTCTGCAGCCCCCCCCCCGGTGTACGTGTGCAAGTAAGTGGCTGGTTGATGGTGGCTTGCAAAAAAGCAAACCAGGCTGGGGGGTGACAGAGGCGGCAGAAATTGTGTTGTGTGCAAGCAAAGCTGTAAACCCCAGGCCACCCCTACGCTCCCCGCCCCAAAGGCTTTGCTCTGGTGTTATACACACACATCAGGAAGCTTTGTATAGGGTGAGCCAAGAAAGATACGGAGGATATGGAGGCAGACACAGGAAGCCAGGAAACTATTATGAGCTTTTATTGTTTGCAACAGAGTATTACAGCCTTTACTTGGGCTTCTTCGCCTTCACCCCACCATGATGCTGAACCACCCGTCTCCCTGAAATGCAGTGGCACCTTCCTGGATCTTCTGGCAGTCATAGGGCCCTGCTGTGACCCCGTAGACTTAGGGGGAACAGGCTTGTCTTGCACAGAGGCAAGACAAGCAGACTGACTTTTCCCTTCCGGGTGTTATAGGTATTTCTCCAAGGACTACTTGAAAATGCCATTTGAACTGTGGACTTGTCGACTGCGTCTCTCAAATTCCTCATGGTGTCTTGCACTTCCTTTAGGATGGCATGGTCCTTATGCATGGAGTCACAAAGTTTGTCCCGCAAGGCAGCTTCGCATTCTGCTCTGGCTACTGAGGACTCTAACAAAGCCTTGTGCGAGGTTTTGTGGATCCATCTTTGCATGCTGCGGAAATTTCTGCAGTGCTCAGCTGAAGTGCGAGTGGGGCACCATTCCCAGCAGGTCATGATGGCTGATAAACAAAGAAAAATGCAATGGTTGGCTTCCCCCCAAGAGAAGGAAAGTACACACTCCCACCATGCAGTGCACAAAATCCCAGCAGGCACAGAAACAGACCCTGCAAAACTGGGGCACTACTTGTACTGCCCAAAACTTATGAGTACTTGCTGCTCCTGGAGGAACACATCCATGGCTGCCACTGCCTGTGCTAGCTGCAACAAATTAACTAAAGCAAACAATTAGCTATCAAAACCCTAATTAGCTATCCTTCACCACTACCAAAAGAACATGGCAACCGACCTACAGCAACACATGAATTCCCCCTCCCATCCGGCCACCCAAACCAAACCAACACAAAGCCAGGAGTTGCTCAGTGGTGGCAAGAGGCACATTAAAAGAGACTTAACAGGTCCAGCAGATGATGTTTCTTCCTGACCCCCTCACCTCCTCCAATTCATCATCTGTGCTACTCTGTGGAATGGGTGTGGGCTAAGTGGCAATAACTCTAAGATGACTGACGGTTCTTCCTGCAACTGGTTATCAGGAGGGAACACAGAGCAGTCTCCGAACAGTGGAGACATAGTTTCAACCTGAGGAGGGGCTGCTACCGCCACCACCTCCTCCTCCTCCTCTACTTCCAGCCCAACCCCGGTGGTGAAAGTGCAAAGTTGGAATCTCACCCACATCCTGGCACAGAATGATAGACAGCTTGTCATAGTAGGAGGCAAGTATGAGACCTGCCCCAGAATGAGAGTTAGCATCTTTTGCTCTGTAAAATGCTGAGCTGAAGGACTTGATCTTGCACTGGACCTGGGTCCAGTCATGATAGTGCCCTTTCACCTGCATGCCTTTTGCGATCTTAACATAAACAGACTTATTCCTCCAACTCTCCAGCCTGTCTATGAGCCTTTGCTCCAACCAAATATAGATTAAGTCCTCCAGTTCTTCCTGGCTCCAGTTGGGTCCATGGGCATTGGAGGTATCAGCCTCCTGGGCCATGGGCTCCATCATACTGCTGGCCTTGGCTTTCTGAGACATAGCAGGCAAAGCAGTTGGTGGTCAACAGCACAAACACAAGTAATTTGTGAAAGGGGCTGGCAAATTTTTTTTTGGGGGGTGCCTTTATACTCAGGCTGTGCTTGCAGGAGAGTCTGGGAAAATTCCAAGGATTTTGAAGTCATGACCTATGAGTATCAAAGATACTCCCAAAGATGATGAAGCAGTTAACAACTAATCGTGTTGTCTACACATGGCCAAAGACCTGGTGATGGTCTTTGGTAAGGCCATTGTACTTTGGGATGGCTGCTCAATGGCTGGGAATGTTGCAAAAATCATCAATAACTGCCTGCTTGTGCAAAATAATGTTATTACAGAAGCACAGAACAGCCTTATGTTTCCCCAGAAACTGGCAAAAGTTTTGAATAGGCAGGAGAGGAGTAGGCAAACTTATTTTTTTTTGTTTGCAAGCTTGATTACATCATAACACCGGTGGCTGCAAAGCTCCTGCAAAAGGCACAATGCCCTGGGGCACTGGGGTGAAGTGTTGAAAAAGCAGCTACACCACGTGCACACACAGTTCCTGCCACCCTGCTTGGCGCAGACAGGTGAGAGGCCACTGCTGGGAGATGGGCAAAATGGAGAACGAGGATGAAGTATGCAACATGATGGAGGACATGGAGCATGAGGAGGAGGAGGATGCATTGCTGAAATGCTGTTTTATGGTAGAATGCTGCAGGAAGTCTTCACCAGGAATACAACATTACAGTTTTCAGTGGCAAGTTGTGTGATTCCTGCTTAGCACAAACTAGAAGATACACGGCATACAGAAGGGAGCAAAGCAGTGAACAAGGGGAATTGGACTGGGGTTTGTTGATAAACCTTAGGAGGACCAGCAGAATCCGGACAGTGTTGGCCCATGAGAGCAGCTCAGACTGATGGGAGTGAATCGTCCTGACCACTTGGAATGACCAGCAGTAGCTACAGATGATCTGAATGAAAAAGGAGACTTTCTACCATATTGGCTTGATGTTGGGCCCACACATCACGAGGCAGGACACAAACATGTGTTGGGCCATCCCACCAGACAAGAGGGTTGTAATGGCCTTCGTGAAGCTAGCCAGCCCAGCCAGCCTCTGCTACATTGTCAACCAGTTTAGCCTGGCTGCCTGTATGGTGGGGCAGGCAACTTGTGAGGTATGCCAGCTGCTTATGGACTTAGTTTCTAACAAAGTTATCTGCCTGGTGAATCCACAGCAAGGGATGGATGGCTTTAATGAGAAGGGGTTCCCAAACTGTGTGGGGGCTTTAGACAGCACTCACATCCCAGTGAGACTACACTAACAAGAAAGGATTCATATTCATAGATGTTAGGGTTGGAAGGGACCTCAATAGATCATCGAGTCCGACCCCCTGCATAGGAACAGTGCTGGGTTTAGATGACCCCAGCTAGATGCCTATCTAACCTCCTCTTGAAGACCCCCAGGGTAGGGGAGAGCACCACCTCCCTTGGGAGCCCGTTCCAGACCTTGGCCACTCTAACTGTGAAGAAGTTCTTCCTAATGTCTAGTCTAAATCTGCTCTCTGCTATCTTATGGCCATTATTTCTTGTAACCCCCAGGGGCGCCTTGGTGAGTAAATCCTCACCAATTCCCTTCTGTGCCCC